TAATGATGTCCAGCTTCTAACCAGAAATGAAACATCAACTTTGTGTAACAAGTTAATAGATTTCAATTAGGTGTCATAATAGGAAGTTTGTAAAAAATATATATATACTAATATTTTCCCTTTTTTTTATTTTCTAGCCCCCTAAAGCCTCCAGCTACAGTTCCACCTGTATTAGGAAACTTGGAAAAAGATTATCCTGTAGCAGCTGTGAAACACACACATGAAAAGCCTGTGCCAACGCACACTCCCCGTAATACTGCAAACATTGCCCCGATTATCCAACAGCCAAGGAAGTAGATAGTAGTTTTATGATGGAGCTATGTGCATCCAAGCCATCCTAGATTACTCTCCTCATTTCAGGTGGTCTGAGTGCTGTAAACCTGTATTCAGGGCTCAAATGATAAACTACAGGGATTTTTTTCTTTTTTTTATATAATTCATGATATTGGGTAAAGAACAGTCTTGGGTAACTAGATGATACAATAGTTTTGATTTTAAATTATATAACTCCAAGTGTAAGAGAAAATTCTCTCATTCGCTCAAATAATCAGGATAGTGTGATATATTAGTATCAGATAGATTTTTTTTTGTGCAAGTGAAAATTGTTAGGTGCTGTAAGAAATGTGGGTTATAATGATTAAAAGTGATGTACTTATAAATGTGGTGGTATAATATGACTACAAGTACAAACAGTTGTGGGTTTGTGATATATAGAACTTTTACATAAAAAAAAAAAGAAATTCATGGGATAATGAAACTTTTTCACTTCTAGTTCTCACTCATAATTTACATTTTTTCTTCTCTTGCCCAAGAGAAGGAAAAAAGGTCTTTATTTTCATGTTCCATTTCTATTTTATCATTATCAGCAGGAGGAACACCTTACTCAAGAAAGCAGGCCTGCCCCCTTTTATCCAACAAGCACAAATATAGAACTTGGTGTGGTGGATAGATTAAGAAGTATTTTAAAATGAGGAGTTGTATGTAATTCAAGCAAGTTCTTATGGAAGTCTTGTATTGATCCTTTTAAATGCTGGCTTTTTAGAACATCTTTCTATTTTCTTTAATCTTTAATTTTATAGATTTTTTTTTTTTTTATGAAATAATTTTACAGCATTTCAGTACAACAGATGAGAGGTGCATGTATTTTTTTTTTTTTTTTCTTTTCCCCAGAATTTCAAGTTTGAAAAGTCATAAATTATCAAAAGAAAAATAGCTTAGCATACTGCTGTGATATTAATAGTACCCAATATCTTGATTTTTTTTTTTTTATCTTAAGAAATGCCAGTCTGACTTGAGGGAGATAGCAACATCAGTAAATATTTTTGAAAATGAAATGATCAAGTACTAGCTTTTTTTTTTCTGAAACATCCCTGTATAAAGTATTGCTTTTGTTCATGTCCATCAAATTTATGTATTTGTATTATGTTCATTTTGAAGATATCCATGCTTTCTTAATGGCAGTGAGTTTTGATCAACTTTTGTAGAATTAGGTATGGTGAGGATGTCATAATTAAGAGTTTACTGCTTTTTAAGAAACTATATCACTAAAGTACAATGAAAGGGACCAGGTTCCAAGTACTAAAAAGCTACATATGTGCTGAGAATTACTTGCTGCCCAAATGTTTTGGTTGTTTGTAAATCTAAAAGAACACACTTATGTACCTGTGTATGTGCATTTCTGTGTGTGTTTTTACACTCATACATGAAGTGCAGAACTGAAAGGAACTAATGTGTGTAATAGTTATATTTTTGAACTGTTGTTTTCAATTGTTTATTGAAATTTATTTTTGTTTAAGTGTAATGGAAGAGGGAAGTAAGTGTGGTAAATATACATGGTGAAAAATTACATGTATGAGGGAGTTTGCGGTTTGAAAAGTTTATCAGAGTGAAGTAAAAAAAATATATATATTCTAAATTATCCAGACATCAATTGTTGCAAGTATTAGTAGTAACAAAGAAAAAAGTAGTGTGCAATTTAACTAGTCTTGGCTTGTATATTAGCTAGTCAGCAAAAGAAATTTGGTAGAATTCCAATGGGAAAATGTATACATTCCAATAAGGGACACAAATGACACATTTCTGGGAGTCAAGCCTTACAGTTGGGTTATAGTTTTTGGTTGCAATATAATTACATTATACCCGAAAATATGAAGAAAAGACAATAACATTAAAAAGTAAAAAAGAAAAAAAAAAAAAAAGGTTTTGGGATATTTTATTGGCTTCAGTTTTATTTCAGTAGTGAATAATTGATCTCTTATTAATTATACAATTCAGGTGAATGGAGAGATGAAGATTTCAGCATTATGAATGTATATGGCTCAATGTGATTCTTCTGTAGGCAAACTTTAAAAGATAAAATATAAGATATTGGCAGTTTTATGGATTGTGTTGGTGAAAAAATTAAGAACTTCATCATTCCATTAACCATTCATGTAGAAATGAGAAACGTTTCATTGTATTGGGGAAAATACATTGTAAGAAATAAATGCATAAAAAAGAATGTGTTTTGTTATCCTTCCACTGAGACTATAAGGAGAGCAGTAGTCTACAATAATATATTATAGTAACCATTAACATATGAACTACAAGTGAGGGACATTCTCCCAAACAAAGATAAGTTACGTTGGACCTCAGCCCTTGCCTCAACTAATTGTACATGGTCTTTTCTTCTCCCCCTTTCTTTTTCCTTCCCTCCCAATACCTTGCTCTTTGTATTGGGAAGGCTTAGGAAACAGACTGAGGCCCAATGTAGGCAATCGCCCTTACCATGGACCTCGGCCCTCACCTCGACTAATTTTGCTTGCTATTTTCTTCCCCCACCCCCAATTCCTTGCCCGTTGTTGTCGTGGGGGAGCTTAGGAGACTAAGACCCAATGCAGGGATCTCCCCTGCCTAAGTCATCAGCCCTCGACTAATTTTGCATGGTCTTTTCTCCCTCCAGCTCTTTCGTTTCCATCCCTTCTCCAACCCCTTCTATTATCTACTTCCTAAAGTGTAAGAGTTGTGCTGAAAGGATGAAAGGGTGACTTTGTGCCAGTCCTGAACAGCCTGAGGGAACCATGGGCAAGGTATTCCCCAGTTTTGTTGTTAGCCCCTTACCCTTCAAGGGGACCCAGAGGGGTGGGCTGTTTATTCCCCCAACATAGCCAAGGCTTCCCATGGCTAGTAATGAAGACGTAATACCCTTATTAGGGGCAATGAGGCTTGCCCCTTCATCAAATAGCTCCACCAGTTAAAACTCTCACGACTCCAGGCTCTCCTTTGATCACGATTCTGAACACTACAACTGCTACCCATTCCTCAGTGCCTACTAGTGCATTATCCACCCAAGTCGAGACTCCTACTCTCAACTTCATCAACTCTACCCCAACAGCCTTCTTCATCAATCGCCTTATCTTCCCTTATTACTACCCTGCAGCCTTATTCTCTATCTCTACGTAATACTACCCCCCTCAACAATACTTGTTCTTCCACATGAGATGTGTCCTACCACCCACAACTCTACCAATATCTTGCATACTCTATTTAGTCAAGCCAAATGGGACCGATTTTTTGTGATCTCCCTACAGCTCCTTACCCAGGCATCACTCTTCTCTTTCAAAAATGTCTCCAACAGCAAGTGGGCAGAGTCCCCTTCCGTACCTGACCCGATTGTTCCCGTCTCGTTACAATTACATCTGAAACTGAAGCTATAGCATTATCAAATCTAACTGATTTCTCTGGCAACCCCATTCCTGCATAACCTCATCCAACTCTTAATACTTGAACTGGAACTGTCTTGATCTCCCCAGCAAGCTGCCCTATGGATATCCATTGGTCAGATTGTGGAGAATACTTACTTGGCTGCCTCAAAGACCATGATGTGATATCAGTACAGTATAGGTCATTGAAAGAAACCCACCAACATTGGACCTTCCCTTTCGTATCTACATTGGTGGACAATCCCTCCCTGTTCGACCATACCATCCTCCTCCCCGTCAATGTCAAAACTGTTAGTGCTTTGGACATCCTGGCAAACACTGCCGTTCCACAGACCAATGCCTCCTATGTGCCCAACCCAGTCATAACCCTCCTGCACAACACGCACGTGCTAACTGCGGCGGACCCCATAATGTATTTTATAGAGGCTGTCCCACTTACAAGCTTGAGTCTGAGGTAGTAACTCTCAGATATAAAAATGGTCTCACTCTGCACGAAGCCAGACAGGAAACACCCCGACAAGATTTCTCTCAGACTCCCTACTCTAGTAATATCGCTCACTCTGCCCCTTCCCATCGGGATATTTTTACACCCTCCCTATACCTACTTACTTCCCCACTTCCACTTCTACCTGCTGCCTTCCCCAGTCAAATTCTTTTGCCATGCTAAATCCAGACACTCCAATCTCAACTACAGCCCCAACACCATCCCCTCTCCTTTCCCGCACTACCCACAGCAGACAGACTAAACGTTCCACCCCTTCTTCTCCTACCACATACTCACCTTCACCTACCTTTAACTTTATTCCTCAGATACCAGTCTCCTCTTTCCCTCCTCCTAAGAAAACCATTGTCTCACAAGACTCTCCAACCAACTCCACTGGAGAGACCATGGAAGTATTCAAAGCTATATGTTTGAAACAGATTTCCACAACTCATTCTCCCTCCACACTTGAAGTGACTGCAGATATCCATCCTCCTCCTACCTATAGTCCCCCTACACCCGTTCCACCTACTCCTCACAACACAGGCCATTCCCTCAACTCCAACTACTGCTGATGTCCATCCTCCTCCTGCTCATATTCCCCCTACAACAATTCCTCCTACTCCCTCCCAACACAACCACCTCCTGATACTCCAATCTCTTCCTCTTCCCCAATACCTACCCTCCTCCTCACTTTATTTGTCGCAACAGAGAACCCAAACGTTCCACTTCACCCTCTCCTACTACATCCTCTTCTTCTGCTCCTCAGATATCTATATCCTCTTCTCCTCACAATAGAACCTTTGTTTCTCAGTCCTCTTCACCTAACTCTCCTCTAGAAACCCTTGAAGACATCCAAAACTTGATAAAGATGACTAAGGGAACACTGCTCCCTCTTTCAACCCAATCCCTCTGTTCCTACTCCTACATCTGAAGTATTTGCAGATATCCATTGTCCTTCTCAGGTTCCTTCCATCCCCCTTCCTCCTACACCTTCCTCTCTACAACTTCCACCTGAATACTCACACAAATCCTCTCATCACAAGTGTCCTTCCCCAGACCCCTCCCCTCCAGACATTCTTCTTGATACTTCACCATCTTCCCCAGTACCCCTTTCTCATCCCCTGGATTCTCTCCTTCTACTTCTCCAACAGCCACCTGTTTTCCTTCAATAATGTCCCTATTCCTTTCCCAGGCACAGATATAATGCAATTCACTTGCTCTAACCTCTTAACCTTTCCCATTTGCTAATCCCTCCTCTACTTCATTTACTTTTCTCTTTTCCCTTTTTGCTACCATACTTTCCTATAACACTAATCTTTGACATCTAACACATTTTATCCTAATCTTAAACTCATCTTCACCCTTTCCAACACAATACTTTACCTTAGCACTATATAACTTTTGATGTCTAGCACATTTATTTATTTCAAACACAAAACATTTCCTTTTCCTTCTCTTCTTCATCCCTTCTGTTCACCCTAAAGTGTGAGAACCGAGCTGACACAACCTGTGTCATATAACATGTTGTCCTAATCATTAACTAATTTTAACCTTACCACAATACTTTAACATAGTGCTGTATGGCCTTTGATGTCTGACACATTTATTTCTTTTGACCATTAACCCTTTTGGGAATCCATGAATATTGCCTTATGAACCAAAAAACTTTCTTAAGCCTCACTCTATCACTATATTTTGTATGCACCACTAATGACCTTATATGTTGATGCAGTAAAAAAAAATCAGTAAACAATACTTATTTGCTAAGTAGTTTGTCTGCCCAAACCACATCATCTCTATTTGTGCCCCCCCCCCCCACAACAGCAAGTAAGGGAAGGGGGGGTGGGACATAAACCTAAAGCTAAATGGCAAGCATTTTATGACAAGACAGTCAGTCATTTAATGATTTCACTTGTTATGACATCATCACTAGCTGTGCCTACCTTTCATTTTGTAATTGTTGGCCTATGAAGGCACCATCCTAAATGTGGTGAGGCCAAGTATTGTCCACATAGTTGAGTTATTACTTATTAGTCCTTACCCCTTTCCGGGACCTTGAGGGGTAGACCATTCCTTTTCACGACATTTCAAGTTCAGCATGGCCAATAATAAATATTTTTTATCCTTATTAGGAGCAGTAAGACTTATCCCTTCATCAATTAGCCGATCTAGATTTGATTTCTCTGGTTTCTCAATCCATGCCTCTCCTTTGACCACAGCTGAAGCAAAATGCTGAAGTTAATATGCATAAATCAAGACCAATAAAATGTGAGCTCTCATGGACTAGACACTGATGAGGAATTTTGTTCAAGCACAAAAAGGAAATGCATGACAATGTGCCAAGCCCTAACTGGACATTAAAACTCAAGATCACTTATGTGTGGATAAACATTATACTATATACTTACAGGCCCTTTCTAGTTATGAATATTGGAAATTGTGATATCAACTTCAACTATTATATATATATATATATATATATATATATATATATATATATATATATATATATATATATATATATATATATATATATATATATATATATATATATATATATATATATATATATATATATATATATATATATATATATATATATATATATATATATAACAAAACAGAGTCTGAGAGAGCTGCACAAAGAATGAATTGGATGAAAGAAAAAATTACTTGCAACATACCTGTCACCAAAAATGCAAACGTAATTAAATATATATGAAAAGGATAATAAAATTGTATTTTCTTCTTTTATATTTTAATCTTAAGAGATATGGTTATTCCATATTATTAAAAAATTGGTACATAAAAAAAGGAAACACATATCAATGCGTGACCACCAAATTTAGAGCACAAATACATTGCAGAAATAAAGCCCTTACGGTTTGCTGCTTTACAGCTTTAACAAATGAAACTGAATTAATCCAGTCAAATGTTAGTCCTTACCATATCTCACTCTTGGCATCCCCTGATTTGGTTTTAAATTTTCTTAATTGATCACATGAAATCATCTGAGTCCTCATCTGCTGCATCCTTGTTACTCTTCATGTTACTGCCAGAAAACAGGGAACTGTAACTCCTGTGAGTAAATAATTGTAAAATGAATTAGAAATATTATAGCATAATAATGATAATAATAATAATTATAATAATGACAAAAAAAAATAATAATAAATAAAAGAAACAACTTATTTACATAACAATAAGTTGATAATAATGAATGATACCACATAAAAGGTAATAGCAGTTATATAATGTGGGGAAAAAGGTTTACTTTTATCACAACATTCTACTATTACTGTTAAAGCAAAATAA